ATAATTTTCCACTTTGCTTTTAGTACTAAAGAACCCCAAGTCAGATTAGGGACCTGCTGTGTGAACAGCGCCATCCAATTGAGCTTTCTGTCATGAAGGAAACTTTCTGTCTCCACGTTGCTCAATATGGTAGCCGTTAGCCACATGTGGCTGCTGAGTATCTGAAATACATTTAGCACCACTAAGGAATGGCATGTCAACTCTAGCTTAAAATTTAAATTTCAACAGCCACATTGAATCCCATGAATGGCACAGCACCCCTCTGGAAAGTATATAGAAGATGACATGCCTTCTGGGTGTTACACATGGATTATCTTATTTTCCCATCAACATTTGACCTTCACTTTAAATTCTTCTGTATCTGATTTTTTTCTTGGTTAATTTTCTGGTGTAGTATATACCTTTGTAAGCCATTTTATTTATTTATTTTTATTAATTTTTTTTCTTGGTACTGGGGATCAAACTCAGGACCTTTTCCTTGCCAGGCAGGTGTTTACACCACTGAGTTTAATCCCTGGCCCTTAAGCCATTTCAAATTTCTTTTTTTAAAGCGAGAAACCTACTTATCAATGCAAAAAAAATTAGAAAGATAGTACAGCTGTATTCCCAGCCCTTTAGCATAACAGAGAACAACAACATGCTTGTTTGGGGGAAGGAGGCCCACATCTGGGAGAAGCAGCCTCTTCTGTGTCTGCCTCTGCTCTGTTTCTTTAGTTGTGTGCTGCTCATGCAAACATGTAATTCATGAGGTTCCTTGAATTGTACGTTTGTGGCTCATACACTTTTCTGTATGTATATTATTTATGTTCCTCTCTCATAAAAGTAAACATAAATATCTATAAAAAAGAACCTATTGCATTCAACATCCAGTGTCAGTTGAATACTATGGAATGTAGCAAGACAGATTCATTAAACACAGTCCTTGACTCCACAAGGCTCTAGTTTAGTATCATGAAGTGTCAATGCACATTTTGAAAATGCATGGATCACGTCAAGGATATAACTCAGTGACACAGTGCCTGCCTGGTAAACGCAAGGTCCTGACTTCAGTTCCCAGTACCAAAAAACAAGACAAACAAACAAAAACAAAACAAAACAAAATGAAAATGCATGGATCTGTGATAACTCCTGATGCTAGTGACTTCCCGCACACCCCTAAACCAGGCAGTGTGACGGAGGGAGGAATGAGAGATGAGTATCAAGAAGACAGCTCTCTTCTTGTCAGAGCTTGGTAAAAGACTTCTAATTTTTTTTTTTAGACTTCTGAATATCTTCATTTTGCTGAAGACTGAAACACAATTTTTTTTTTTTGGTGCCAGAAATCGAACGAACTCACGACCTTATGCTTGCCAGGCAGGTACAGTGCCACTGAGCCATATCCCTAGTCCTGAAATATAAATTTTTACTTTGAAAACTAACTTAAAGAGATGGACAGCTATATATCTCATAGTGGAAGGCCACTCTGCAGCAGAGAGGATGAGCAGTATCCTGCTCAAATGGTCAATATCAAGAGTCGGGAGGGGGCTACTTCCCATTTCTCTCCCTGTTAATTGAACATACTATTATTCAGCAAAGGTCTGCAATCCCGAGTCCCCAGACATAAATCTCTTTTCTCTTTTGCGAATCTCCCTAACTTCAAAAGCCTGCACCTGTATAGACTGTATAATCATTTAAGTGTGTAGATCTTTGAAATATTCTTTCGGTGTTTGCTTTGAGCAGCACTCAGGCCAACCTTTTATACTTTGTGCTTTCATTTATGTTTTTAGAAGGATCAAGGGAAAAAAAGTCTTCTCAACTAAGAAGAGGAAGAAATCACTTCAGAAATAATCATATTCATTTTGATCTTTTAATATAAATATATATTTTTTTGCATTTCATTAACTTTTACTTGGTGCAACTGTTACTTTGCATAAAGAATTGGCAGTTATCAGACGAAGAAAGATTTTCTCACATTTCAAAGAGGATTATAGGGTAATGCTAGTGCTCTGTTTACTGAGCAATAAAGCAACATTGTTCACTTTCTTCAAAAGGAAGTCTGACAATGATCTAGTTCTCATGAATGAGTATCTCAAGGTGACCCTTTTGACTGGAGCAATGTACCTCGCTTTGGTTTGGACCAGTTATCAGAAATGTGCCAAATTCTCATTTCATCTCATGATATGGAAATTACAATTGTGGAATTTAGACCCCAAACCAACAAAAACTGAAATTTTACTTGCGATTCCTATAACCACAGTCAGCACCGACTGAGGGAGTGCTCTCCAACATCAATTTGCTATTCTCAGGTTGCCAAATATGAGAACTAAGATGCTAGAGATTGAGCCTTTTCAGAATAACAAAGCCCTACACACCCAGAACTAATTTACCTGTTAATTAGACAATGCCTGGGTTGGAAAGTATTATCCAGCAAGGGCAGGTATAGGATATACCTTAATCTGCACTGGGAATTTTTGATTCTAGAGTATAATGTTATCTATAATGAGTCCAGGACATTTCAGGAAAAGATCAGAGAAGAAAGAGGGCTGGTGATGCACAGGGACTAGTGGTAGAAGGCTACTGCTGGCAGACTGGGCCAGTCTCCTGTACGTAAGATATATTCACTCACCCTTCCTAGCTGAGTGAATCCAGAAGTTCTAAAGGCATCTTTTTTTCTCTTTCAAGTCTTTATAAAGGCATCACTTTCCAAGGGACCACAGAATTTTAATATCCTCTGTTAGCAGAGAGAGGGTTAGGGACAGAGCAGAAGGCAGAGAAAGAGAATAGAGAGAAGGGGACAAATGTCTTCTCTATGGAATATCAATAAACTTTACAATCTTTAAAGTTGGGTTTTCCTGAAGTTCCGTAGGATTGAAAATTACACAGTTAAAAACTGTGCAAGAAATTCCAATCAAAATACCATTTGCATACCATACAGATATAGAGAAATCATTGCTAAAATTAATCCGGAACCAGAAGACCTAGAATAGCAAAGGCAATTCTGGGCAACAAATTCTGGGCAAGTAACACAATCCCTCACTTGAAATTATACTACAAAGCTACTGTGATAAAATCAGCATGGTACCAGAATAAAACAGACCTCAAGATCAATGGACTAGAGTAGAAGATACAGCCACAATTACAAACACACTCAGCCACCTCACCTTTGGCAAAGGGGCCAAACATGTACACTGTAAGAAAGACAGCCTCTTTAATAAGTGGTGCTGGAAAAACTGGGTTTCCATGTGCTGAAAACTAAAATTAGATCCATATCTATTACTATATACTAAACTAAAGTCAAAATGAATCAAAGATCCAAATATTAAAAGAGAAACACTAAATCTTCTGGAAGTCCAAGAAGGTAGAAATCCTGATGACATAGGGGTAGGCAGAGAGTTTAGGAACAAAAATCAAACTGCACAGAAAATACTTCCCAGAATCAACAACTGGGATGTTGTCTTATTAAAAAGTTTTTGTGTGTCAAAAGAAATCTCCAAAAGAGTGAAAAGAAAACCTATGAATTGGGAAAATATCTTAGCCAACTCAGACAAAGGACTTCTATCTAGAATGAATAAAGAATTTAAAAGTCATGCCCCCAAAATTCAAAGACCCACCTCAAAAATGAGCAGCTGAGATGAATACACACTTCTCAGATGAAGAAACACAAATGGCAAATAAATATACAAAAAAATGCTCAATATCAATGGTTATTCGGGAATGGAAATTAAAACATTGAGATTCCATCTCATCCCAGAAAGAATGGCCAATATCAAGAAATCAACTGGTAACAAATGCTGGAGGGGCTGGCTGTGGGGGAAAAGGAACTCTTTTCTGTTCTTGCAGGGAGTGTAGGCTGGTGCAACCAGTGTGGAAATCAGTGTGGAGAATCCTCAGAAATCTAGGATTAGGGATTCCATTTGACCCAGCTATCCTGCTTCTGGGGCATTTTCCCAGAAGAACTGAAAACATCATACCACAGTGATGTATGTGCGATGTTTATAGCAGCACAATTTGTAATAGCCAAATCTTGAAAACAACCCAAGTACCCATTAATTGAGGAATGGATAAAAAGATGTGGTATTTTTATATAAAGGAGAACTACTCAACTATAAAGAAAGATTGCATCAAGGCCTTTATAAGTAAATGGATGTGACTTGAGACCATTCTCCTAAGTGACATAAATCAAACTCATATGTGTAAATACCATATTGTCTCCCTAGTATAAGAAACTGAAAGAGTAAATGTGACCCATAATCTACAATAAATATTGTACAAGGGTAAGAAATTTCTCAAAGAAGAAACGTAATTGGGATGGGGAAAGGAGGAAAGAAGGAAGGGAGAAGGAAAAAGACATAAATTTATACACATATATACATGATAGCTAAAATGACTATACTACTAATTATACTATCTACTGGAAAAGAACAGTTAATATATATGATTAGATCAATTTTACATGTCTATATCTCATAATCTAAGCAACTCTTGTAGGTAACAATATGCAATATTACAATCATTGTTAAATTCCTATCGTGTTGTTTTAAAAACTTATACTGGCATTGTTCGGGGTTTGTGGTTGGTTGTTTGTCTCTTGCTTTTCCTTTCTATGTCTTTTTTTCTCTTAAATAGATTTTTTAAAAAGTAAAAAAAAAAAAAAAGAACTCTGCAAGAGTGAGGGAGCAGATTCAGTAATCTTTAATAATGTCCCCCAGGTTAGGAGCTTGTATGACATCCAGGAGTCATGGGTGGTCTGGGGGCACAGACCTGGTGCCTAGCTAGGCACGTGTTTGCTAAGGCGGGTGCCAGGACAATAGACTGTGCAGTGCTGCTGGGTGAAGGCTTTCTGCCTTCTCTCTTGCTTACATGTGGTACAGATCTACCTTGACCTGGTTTGGGATGTACAGGGCCACTGATCTCTTTTTTTCCTAGCATTGCTCACTAACAGGGAGGAGACTTTCCAGTAGAACTGACTTGTTTTGCCCTTCCAACAGACAGGCAGACAGACAGACAGCCAACCCAAGTACCTGCAGAAGGATCTTGTTGCCGTCGTGGTCCTCTGTCTGCCAGCGTCCCTCACTGATGGGGCTGCAGGGGTTGGGCAGGAGAGGCACCAGCTCCCCAATGTCCTTTACTCGAAACTCCAGCACGGAGGAGTCGGTGGGCACCGGGCTCTGGTCACAGGGCAGTCTTTTCAGGGAGAACTGGATGTCCACATCCAGATTGGAGAAAATGGGGAAGATGCAGAAGTCCACCTTCTTCTGACTCGGGCTCCGGCGCAGGATCAGCTCGTAGAAACGAAGGCTGTCTGCATAGCTGTTGTGCCGGCAGTAGATGGTGAAGCGCACGATCTCCTTGCCATAGTGCACAGGCCGGATGGCCCACAGCGGTGTCCCGGGCGCCAGGGTGAAGAAGTCCTGGCTGAAGGGCAGGTAGGGCAGGAACCGGCCATTCACACGCTCTGTGTGGTGGTGGCGCCAGGGCGGGCGCTGCAGCGTGCGGTGCAGCTGGAGGATCTGCTCCTCCCCGTACTCCTCCTGCAGGAACAGCACCACAGCCAGGGCCGGCTGTGCGCCTCTGGGGGTCTTCTTCCGTCTCCGGCCCACTCGCCTCTCAGACACTCGGAACAGTGGGAGCTCAGGGTGGATCCATGCCAAGACCTTGTCAATGGCCTCCTGCAGCGGCTGGGCCTGGCCTGGGTCTGCGATGATGTGGATGCTGACCAGGAAGGGGTCCTGGGCCTCTTCTAGGGAAAGCTCACCTGGGGACACCGAATGAACCATAAGTGAATTCAATGAATGGGTATATAAAATGGTGATTATTTCACGAAGGTGACCAGCGATGGCATGTACTCGGCAGAAGACAGCCAAGTTCTAAATCCATGCATGACCTATGATGTTTTTGGTCTCAAGTTTGCATACAAAAACCACTCTGGCTACATCTGAGCGTCCAGACAAGAAAGGGCTATTGCCAGAACTAGTTCTCAGCTGCACAGTGTTGGGAAACCATTGGCCCTGTATTTCATCAGGTCAAGTGCACTTTCTATCAGACAACAGAAAGTCCAGCCTCTACTTTGGAAGGAATAACAGGCCAATGAGAGCAGATGCTGTGGCATCACCAGCAGGTCATTTAGTGGTGCCTAAAACGAACACAGTGTCTTACCCCATGAATGTTCCCAGCAGTACGGCGCCCTTCTGGTTTGCTTATCTTGCTGACTGATTTTGCTCATTCATTTAAGAGACATCCAAGGACTCCCTTGGGGCCTCAGTGGAGAACAGAGACGTGCTTGCCTCTGGGAGCTCGCTCTAACTGACAAATGAGGCTGTCATGCCCACAGCTTCCCCCTGGGGAGAGGGAGCTGCTTGTGATTGTTGCTGAGACACGGGGAAGAACAGCCTAGGACAAGTGCCACGTTCTTGCTGTCTGTACGGCTTACTGGGACAGAGCTCATCAGTGGAGAAGCACAGTGAGGCCACGATTGCCAGGTCAGGCTGCCTTTGCTGGGTGAATCCACCCAGAAGCTCACAGATCCTGAATGGTCTGGGAGCCCTCCCTGTGTCCCCCGGCAGGCAGAACACCCTGGCAGCATCTGATGCCAAGGGTGAAGCTGGCTGTTTGACTTGGCAGCATCTTCTCATGGGATGACGCAGTTGGCTGGCCACAGTAGCCTATTTCAAAAGATGCTCTGTTTGGCTTTATCTAAATTCTGTCATAAATGTAGTGGTAACCAAGACAGCTTTAGGACAAGTGTGACAGGAGTGACACCATTGGATTCGTTTACAACCTAGACATGCCTTTCCATGTGTGTTCCACAATGCCCACTGCAAGTGTTAGATCTAGAATGATCAGTGGACAATAATTTCTGAGATGTGAGATGGGCTTTTAGGAACCATAACCTTAGTCAGTTCCCCAAATAAAAACTGTTTTTTTGTGTAGGTAACTAAGATATTCCCCGTGGGCCCATGAATCCATTTTACTATGTACACTTGCACTAGCATGGCTTTAATTTTATTGGATCAAAACTTGTCTAAGTCAGGCATCCCCACGCCTGTAATTCCAGCACTCCTGGAGGCTGAGGCAGGAGGACTGCAAGTCTGAGCTCAACCTGGGCAACTTAGTGACCTAGTGAGACCCTGTCTCAAAATAACAAGCTAAAAAATTCTGGGAATGTAGTTCAGTGCAAAGGCCGTAAGTTCAATCTCCAGTAACACAAACGCAAAATGAAGAAACAAACAAAAACTTGTCTGAATTTTCATCCCAGTCCTCACACCTAGGTATCACTGCCTTCTTTCTCATTCACTCATATTCCTTAAGCATTCAATACGTAAAAGGAGACAAGGAAGCTGGCACTCCTGAGGACTATGGGAGTCTGTGTACACAGGCTCTGGCATGAATAGTGTTCCATGCTGCATACACGACCCTAGACAGTCAAAGGTAGCAGTATTTTACAGAAACATAAGCTACAGGTGAGAATTTCCTGAAACACAGATATAAAAACATCAAAATTCAATTGCTATATGCCTAGAAGGGATCCAACACAACAGCATCTTGGGGGGGGGGGTTAGGTTCTAAAGTTATCACAGAGTGAGGGTTACCTACAGACAGTATTACCACTGAAAGTTCCCTTCATTTCCAGCAAGACACCAGATGGCACTGACCTATAGCAAGACCACCCAATCACATGTGTGAATGCTGCTTTGCTGGACACCATATGAAAGAGCCAGCTGCTGCAAGCTGGCACAGCAGAACAGTGTGCCTCTTGACAGATACTGAACCTCCACCCCGCAAACCAAACCTTTAGTGTGTAAGAGGCTCTCAGCAGTTGAAAGGCTCCTGGAACCTGAGGATGACTAAAGTGGTCCCAGTTCTCTCATAGCCACGGAGTATAGTGACAGGTAGAATTAGTCCAACTGCCTGTGCTGTGGCCTTCCCTCCCTCTGGCTGAGCATGCCTTCCTGAATTTGTGTGAGCTACATACGAGCATGATACAATTCTGATTTACTACCGTGTAACAAAGGAAGGAGCAACTCTTTGTCTTTGGTGCCTTTTAGAAGGCTTCCCGGAGGAGGCACCAGGTGACCTGGGTGTTGACCGGGAAACATCTCAGAATGACCCCAAATGTGGGGGAAATTGGTGTGGCAGGAGGGAGACTATTTATGAAGGCACAGAAGCAAAAACAAGCACATTTGGAAGAGGGTGATGAATGATTCTGAAACAGATGCAACTAGAAAAAAAAATGGAGCCAAATTCTATAGCCTTGAGCTCAATTTCGTAGGCGATGGAGGGTTTTCATGCAGAATGTCAGGATCAAGTCAGAAGGAGGTTGACTATAGGCGAAGTAAGGAGTTAGAGGATTAGTGAGGAGTCCAGCAAGACTTGGCATAATCTGCATTACTGGCCCTAGTTTTTTGTTCTACTCTATGTCCTTGCTCTCCGTCAAATGACTTTGTAGTTCTTCCCACTAAATGTGTGATGTTTGGACAGTAGAAAGTGAGCTGGACACGAATTCTGGCTTGCCTCCTCATGCTTTTGATATTTCTATGAGAAGAACAGGATTGAGTGATCCCACTGGTCTGGGAAGGAGGATGAGATACATGGAGCAGAGCTAGCTCAGCTTAGCCCAACCTAGATCAAACTACGGCACATGGTACGAACTATCCAGCTATGACTGGGTCTAGATAAGTTGACCAAGGCACATGGGAAATAATAAATAACTGTTACTTCAAGCCATGAATCTGGGTAGTTGTTACACAGCAATACTTACAGATACACAGAGAATCAGTGGGTAAATAGAAGATGCATGTAGTTAACCGGTTATTTAGGAGGCAAGGGGTGTAAAAAATGAATGTGCCCTGATGTTTCTGGTTTGGGTGACTGGTCCTTTGTTGTATTTTACAGATAGAAAACCGAGGCAGAGAGGCAAGTTTTTTTGGGCGAGGGCAGGGGAAGAAAAGGAGTTCTGCTTTGGTCACTTGGCTGAGAAGTGTGAGTAACTTTCAGAGGAGATGTCCTTTTGGTAATTGGACCTTTATGTTGCCAAAGCTGTAGCTGAATTTAAAGATGGATCAGTTACTTTTTGTGAGCTGACTGTCAACCGTGATTGGCTTGAGAGACACAGGCTGTGTGTGGGTGGGTCACAGCGGTTGTGGCCTTGGGGACTGTATCTTATCTCTGGCCTTTTCTCCCTGGTCCTCTTCCCTTTTTCTCTGCCTCTTGGTTGCCGTGAATGCCACACACATTCTTCTAAGTGTGGGGCCAGCCAACTATGGACTGAGACCTCTGAAACCAGGTGCCCCTTAAACTGTTTCCTCCTTTAAATTATATATGTCAGGCAGTTCATCCCACCTATGAGAAAGCTGACATATTTTTAGGCCATATTTTTGCTTTTTGGCAGTTATCTGATATGTGTGTGCCCCATATTGATTTGAATCTTGAAAACTCATCATGATGGTTTAGAGAAAATGGAACTCAGGAATCATTCTGTTTTTTTTTTTTATTTTCTGCCTGGCTGGCTTCTGTTTCACTGAGCATTAACATCATCATCAGCAAACATACAACTGAAAAAAAGGTATCAAAGACAAAGGTCAGTGAGATTATCATCAGTCCGTAACTCAGGAAGGATGATACTGCAATCATGAAAATGCAGATTTCCCTTTTCCGTGGTATCGGCAACTCTTAACAGCGACACATTAACTAACACACATCCTTTCTCAGAGTCCTACATTTATGGGATCTTTAAACTCTGGAAGGGGATGCTTCTCTTGTTCTCATTTTTAGACAGTAGGAAATTGAGGCACAGCGGGGCAAAGTCATCCGCCAAAGGCACACAGAGCGAGTGGCTCAGCACTCACTGCAGCACTGAGGTCTGGTACTACTGCTCCTAGTCCGCTCTGCGGAGCCCATTTCACAGAAGGAGGGCCAGCTGCCACTTTCATCCATGTCCTTGCAGTCCCACTTGCCCCTCCTGGTGGCTCTCCTGCTCCTTCTGCTGGCTGCTTTTCTGGCCACCACAACAGCTTTGTGTCTTGGACATCTATTTAAGTTTCCTCTGGCCCTGGTCTCAGAGGAAAACACCCCGGACACCAGCTTTCTGCTGGCAGATGCCCAGGTCCTTACATCTCTGCACTGCCACCAAGGGTGAGTCCAACAGGCCGGCACCCAGGTGGGTGCACTGGCGAAAGAAAAGCAGAACAGTGACCTCAAGAAAGCCTGCAGCCAGTGGGGGGACAGGCAGGGGTGAGGCCTGGGTGTGAAGTGGGGGAGGTGGTATTTGAGTCTCCTAAACTGAGTTGTCAGGGCTCTCAGCCTTGTGCTACCTCCAGCAGTGGCACAAAGGTTTCCCAGAGAGCAGTAACAAGGGCCGTGCTAATCCTGCATGGGTGAGTGAATGTTTGCAGCTCTACAAAAGGGCAGGTTGCCCAGCCTCAGAGCAGCGTCTGGGCTGAAAGGCATTCCACCAGGCCCCAGCGCTCCTGGCAATGGGATACAGCCAAGAGCAAGCAGGCCAAGGAGACCAAGACTTGGCTGGTCCCCAGTGCCCCTTGGTACTGCATCAACCAGGGAGGCATATGTGGTAAAAATCCTGCCCCAGAAGAATGAAGGAGATGGGGCAGTGCATTAGTATGCTCTGGGCACCCATCCCATGGCCCAGTGCACATGATTCAAAGAACCACAGAAAACAGCTTGCAACTGTCATCGGGTGCTAGGGTTACACATGCCCCAGGGAAATCTGTCTCTGTAGAGCTGCACAGGGAACCAAGTATTTGAGGGGAGGGAGAGAAAATGTGAATAATTAATTGTCATGAAAAGCCTCTAGGCCTCCCTGGAGAAGCAGAGACGATGCATCTGCAGGACGTGCTCCGCTTTATCGTATCTATTACCTGTTTTCTCCCTGGACTGCAGGGAGCACCTGTTCCTTCAGGGCACAGCAGATCAGAATGCGGCGGGAAGGACCTGCTGCCTGGAGGTGGAGCCTGTCACAGTCTCAACCAGGCCTCCAAACAGCATGTGCTTCCAAAAAGGGAAAGGAAGAGTCTCTCATGTGATGCACCGCTAGAGTTTCACAGATAAAATAAAACAAAAACAACTTTAAGGGAAGCAATGTACAAGGGAAGACCTCCATGAGGCAGAAAGTAAAAAATCAGTCCAGGTATTCGCTACCTCCGACCCCTAATGTTATGCATCTCCTGTATATCCCTTTTTTTGCCACCTAAATTTAACAGAAAAACATTTAGCAATAAGCGTTTACTAAGTGTTCTCTGTCTGCCAGCCACTGTCCTGTGTATTATCTGATTTAATGATTAAAACAGTGCTATGTTAGAGGTATTCTCCTTTTTGCAGCAGAAATATTAACTGACTCGCTCACGCTTTAGAAAAGTAGGGGCTGTCTGAAGTGTCTTAGCCCCCAGTCTCCCACGAGTACGCTGTTATTTCCCAAACCCACTGTTCTTACACTAAACCTGCTGGCTGTTCCCTTGGCTGGGTCTCTGAACCTATGACTCAGCTCCTTCAGTCAGCGTGGATGGATGGCCCTGCTGTGACAGCCCTGACCATTCCCTTAAGTAGGCACCTTTTGCCTATTTGGGGTCCATCTGGCTAGGGCAGAGGACCCAGGCCCTTCTACCTGCTCACAGACTGAGGTCGCTGGCTTGCTACTTGGTGACCTCAGTGTTACCTGGAGCAGGCCCTTTATTGCTACTCTCTGCAGCCAGAGCTGATGGGAACATCAGCCTTACAAGTACTGTCCTCTGCCAGTCTTGTGCCATTTACCAAAAGTGGTCACTGGTACGTCCTCAAAGTGCTGACCTCCCAGTAGTGCTCAATAGAAGGTGAAATTCAATGAGACCCAACGGGTCTCATTTTGAAGGACTGCCTGAACTAGTCTCAGGATATGACAAGGTCAGATACCTCTTTCTAGAATTTTTGAGCAACAACTATTATCATTGTCATTTTAGCCACAGTTTGTCACTGACATTTTGCAATTCGGTTGCAATCATCTATTTAAAGAGTGTTTATTCAGCACCTATGATGTGTCAGGCGCAAAGGACACAGTGGTGAATAAAACAGCCTCTGCTCTCACAGAGCTAGTCTGGTGGGGCAGAGACGATACATACATACCAGGAAGTTTGGTCCTTGTAGACACTTCACAGCACAAACACATGCACAGTGTGGGCCCAAGGAGAGGCTCCAAAGCAGCAGCCAGAAGCATTTACCATCAGCTGAACAAATTGCCTGCACCCTTCCGGTGCCAAGATTACTGCCAACACCTGTGCCCCATGAACTTCCAGAGGGCCAAGGGAATCAGAGCACGGGCACCTTTGCTGTTTGGTGTAGGGCAGGTGGTTTTGGAGCTTGATTTGAGGCCCTCTAACATGCCTGAGGGTAAAGAAACTGAATTTCTAAAGCCCCTTTTGGTGGCAGTCAATAGCTCTAGAGCTTGGATATAAGTCAGCAAGTAGACCCACTTGATTCAGAGGCAGAAAACGCAGGTGAGGTGGGGGTCACACTCATACCAAATACAGTCCCTAGACTTCAGCTAGACTGAACCTGAGAGTCAACATCACATGAGAAGAAAGCCAGGAAAAGACGCCCGAGTCTTCCAAGGAGGACAAAAATTCATAGAGGGCCACTGCCCATTCTCAAGTTGTATAGTATAGTCATCCCACAATGCCAGAAATAAACGCCCTCGGGAAAGGGCTACTGCGTTCCTTCATGGAAAGGTGTATTCACCCAGCACAATTAAATAACCTTCTTTCTTTGCATTGTTTTCTGTTTTTTAAAGCCAGTTCTTTAAACCTCTGAATTAATGAGAAAATTTGTAAGCAATCCCCTTATCCCACCATGATTTAAAATAAAATCTCAGCCTTTAAAAATTCTTGGTGATTTTATAATTTCAACAAGGCCATTAGCTGACCTGCAACTTCGGGCTATTAAAGTGGCAAGGCTGGTCCCAGAGCTATACCAAATGAGGCCCAAATCAGATGCTGGGTTAGGAATCATGGTACATAGTGGCAGTGAAGTGGTATCACAGATAATACAGCTCTTTTCTGTTGGCCTCAATTCCCAGAACTTCCTCGTAACTAAAGAATTGAACACAGGCTGAAATGCTTAAGCTGAAACCTATATTTCCACTAGAGGAGAACAATAGGGAATCGTTCTGATGCCAAGGCCCTTTCAAGCTTTTGCAAGAAGAATGTTTTTGCTCTAACTGCAGTTATCCACTGTTCCTCCAATTTCCCTCATCTGCCAGAGAACAATGTCAGGGGCCTGCATGTCTGATGATTTGTATTCCTGAGCTCACTCTGAAACTAGGACACTATTAAGAAAGAAATAATCTAGAAAGTAAGGCAGGTACTTCAGCTGCCCTGGGTTTCTTCTTGCTTGGAGATGGGACATCCACTTCACTTTAAAAGCAGATCTAAGCTTCATTCAGAGCCATCATTCTGAAACATCCCCTGCTGAGGGAAAAGAGGGGGAGCAAAAGCCAGATACCAACTAGAGAGTAAAGACAAAGACATTTTAAATTCGCACAAAGCTTGACACAGATTCTGGGAAAAGACCAGGAGGTTGGTATGTAATTATTCTGAGGAGACATAAATGCAGCTACAAACATTTAAACATATCTAGCATATTGCTGTAGTCCTGAGGACTAAAAATCAACATTTATGAGAGGTAATACAAGTCTAAGGCACACCAATGTCCCATGCTTAATGGTGCACTTACACTCCCTTTACACAAAAATTGGGGGGTTGAAAGAACTTAATGAGCATGGAACTTATGAGAATCTTTTCTTCTGCTCAATAGTTTTAATTATGTACTTGTCATTTTCATGGGTAACAAGAGCATCCTGAGAAAGAAAGTCAAGATCTTAATAAGATTCTGTAGATTTAGAAATGCCGCAATAGGCCTTGGAAGCAACAGGTCTAGAATAAAGATTCATCTTGTTTTAAGAAATGAAATGCATTTACTCCAATAAAAAAGACAAAAGAGGAAAATATGAACCAAAACCAATGTCATGGATTTGTTTTCCGGGGAATTCCTGTGTTCTCAGTTTTATGATAGAGTTATTGAGAGAATCATCACCACTGATAAAATCCAGAATTGGCTTTGCTCATGATCTGACTATTGACACAGGAAATGGAGCTTGGGGACTTTTTTGCCCTAAAACTCAGTGGTATATTCAAATGCTATATCAGGTTGAATAGCAACACACACTTGGTCTTCGTTTCCATGTCTCTTCAGAAAATAAGTCCTTCAAGGCCCATTCGAAAAGCAAGCTTTCTGGACATGTACAGAAATTAAAGACAGGTGAGGCATTTCATCCAAGCTCCTTGTTTACAGAGAAGGTCGGGCAACTTGTCTAGGCCGGGCATTTGGGCAACAGCAGGTCTAATTCAGAATGGACAACTCCTACTTCAGGGCTCTGACCTACACAGTCAACTGCCCCCAGGCCTGAGGTGCCCAAGCCTGTTAAAGCCTCTGAGAATTGCAAAGTATGAGGAAACAGCCTGCCACTGTCTTCAGGGAGTTATCTAAATGAGAAGGCAAGATGTTCATACATGAAAGACAGAAGGAAAAAATACAGAATGAAATGCAGAGAGAGTAAGCAGGTCTTCCTTTCTCAAAGTTTTCCTACTGCTTTGTGGCCCTCACCTACAGAGGGAAGGATTCAAGGTCAGTGAAAGTAAGTAGATAAATCTAGTAATCAAGTTTCTGAAGCTATTTTTGTCATCTTATAGCAGAGGACACAGACTGAAGGGCAGGGCTCGCAACTGTATGGGTTGAGCTTTTGGAGACACCAGCTGATAGTGACCCTTAAGCATGCCATCGTGTAGAAAGACCGTCAGCTCCTCAGTCCACTGGATCTGTGACCACATGCCCTTTATCCCGCTATCCTAAGACAAGGCAACGGCAGATTAACCGTAGAATCACGGAGAAAGCCCAGTTCTCCCCATAACTGACAAAGCAAGGATGCCTTACAACTGTTCTTGTCACAAAAAAGGAAAACCCATCTTCCAAGCACAGGTTGAGCAGTTCAGCCTCACTGCTTTTATGAGCCAATAATAATGTCAGAAGATGTTAGGGCGAGATAAAAATAAAGGGTGAGCGAGAACAGATGGAACATTTCTGCTCTTCCATAACTACTGCGTTGTACAAAATAATAGTTTAATAAATGCATAGGAATGAGCAAAGGAAGAAAGAAGGATCTTTCTTGGTCAGTTATGAATTATAGAAACCCTCAGAGGTTATGACCTGACTTTTTGTACAACATTCCCCCAAAACTGCCAACCTGCTATCCTGCCAGATGTTACAGGCAGCAGTGAGGACACTAAATAAAGAAAGAAGCTGTCACTCTCCTGCTCTCGTGAGGTCAGTGCACTGGTGACACAGCGCTGTGCTGTGGCCATCACTGCTGCCCATGGCCAGAACAGGGTGAAATCGACCCCATGCCTTCAGTGAGAGAAAAAAAGACTTCACCTTGAGACTCTGTATAACGTAAGAGTCTCCCTGTTGCAACCTACTCAAAGAGCAGTTTTATTCACTATACATATCTTGTGCATGTGTCTCTGTACACTAAATCACAATTTTCACGAGACCCTAGCATGCTCATCCATGCCAGTGGAAGAGTGAACTGGCAACTCTGGAGGACAATCTGGCAAAAGGGATCAGAAGCTTTACAAACTGCTCAGACTTTCTACTGCAGCAATTCTACCTGGAGTTGTTTATTCTCATAAGGAAGGATATATACAAGGGTTAGTTCCTTGCAACAGCATTATAATAGTAAGAAACTGAATACAACCTATAGGATTGTAAACTACACTACGGCATTGATGAGTAAACGTAATACAGGAGTACAGTGGACACTCAAAACTACTGGGAAATTAATTCCTGACATACAAAGATGCTTGAATATAATTAGTGAGAAAATTAGACTATAACATATACATATATGTGTCTGTGCATGTGCATATATTGGCATTTTGGCAATTATATATATGTATAATTAAATATATAATTACATATAATTAAATACATAATTATGTATAATTAAATTTATATATATAATTGCCAAAATGCCAATATATGCACAGACACATATATTTATATAAATATAGTTGACCAGGAAAATAATCTATAAAGGGAGACACCAAACTGTGTATAGTGGTTGCTTTTGGATAGTAAGATTCCGTTCTCTTATCTTTTTTTGATAATTTGTATTTTCTGACTTTCCTATAATGACTGTATTATTCTCAAATTGAGGAAGCGTCGGCAGTGTCAGGGGTTGGTGTGTGGCCGCTACTCACTGCTGTTCCCTCGCTTGGGGACATGCCAGATGCTCCTGAGGTAATACTTTAGCCTCTTGGGGAAAATGTAATCAAGAGAATCTGTCTCCATTTTCCTTTTATATCCTGGGAAGAACTCGACACCGTCTGTGTAGTTGAAGTTATACAATTAGAACTTATCTTTGAAGCCAGAAGGACGAAACCGTATTTTTTTGGGAACAAATGTCAGTGCAGCAAGGCACTGAAGGAATTGTGTGGTGTACCGCCCTCACCCTCTGATGTGCTGATGCATATCTGTGCTTATTGCTTTTTTCTTATCAACTGTCCAGCAGTAATGCTGTTTACCTTTTTAGGGTCTCAGTCAGAGAAAATATATAGACTCCACACCATCAAATAACAGTCTTAAAGCAAAGCTGCTTTTACTTTGGTTGTGTCATTTATCTCAGAGGTTTTATTTGCTACTCCCATGATGCTACAAGTAATGTTATCACTTGCTACTCAAAAAAAAAAAAAAAAAAGCCCAAAGCATAAGGGAAATATTCCATGCTTACAGTAAACCAATCTTAGAAGGGGATACAAACTCTTCTTTTAAATTTTTAATAAAATAATTCAAATATTTATGAAATGAAAACTTTCTCATTCAGATATTATGCAGACCCTATTGCCTTTGGATTATACCATTAAATTGGAATTGAAGTGTGAGAAATTTGGATAAGCTGCATCTCTCAGGGATGATTTAAAAGCAATCTTGGTTAGTCAGGAGATAGGCTAGCTCAGTGTCCCTGAAACTTTCAGTATATTAAATGCACTTGACTCAAGGGTGGGACCTGGAGTTCCGCATTTCTGGTGCTGATGTGATGTCCCTGGACCACATTCAGAGCTGCAAATCTGGTGATTTTATGTACTCTGCCAGGTCAAGAACCAAGTTTCTGGGCAGCTCACAAAATGTGGGGGCAGCAGGATACACTCACCTTCAACATGCTGCTGTTTTGTGGTTGAGGGTTTGGCCAAGCCTTCATTGAACAGCTGCAAGACCCAGACCTGCTGCAAACACAACCAGGCCTGTGGCTTTTTAATTAGTGTCTGCTACAAATCATATGCTCATGGCTCCAGCTCTGAGGGTAGGCCCCCAAAACATGACACCCGTCCAAAATCCAAAGCCATACTTGCTACAGAAAACTTCAGTGTATGAGGTTGTGGGAGCAGCTTCCCCCAGCATGTTCTTCTTTCTTCATTTAGAACAAGACAGAGTGAAACTATTATCTTCTGGGGAGGAAGAAAAAGCCCTCATGCATAGTACTCTCCCACTCAGCCACATGGACAGCAACTGTACTTACTGTAGCTGCCCATGCCAGAGAACACTAGAGAAACTCCCGAGGCTTTAATCCTATAGTTCCCTCAGAGGTCAGAGCCACTAAGGATGACAGACTGGGCAAAGAAATCAGATTGGCCTGCTGTGCACAGCATTTTAATGGTTTCTCTCTGGTCTCTGTGGCCATGGCTGCAAACCAATATAGAGCATGTTGTCAATGACATCACTGTCCAACATCCAACTACTCACAGACAATCCTGGCCGGGCCAGCAGAGTCACACTATCAGAGAGTAGCTCTCTCAGAGGCTCCTCTGAAAACAGTTCTATACATGAACTCGACTGCCAGAAGGTGGTCTTAAATGTAATGAAAATGGAAATGGCTCTTATTTGGGGTTCACTTGCTGGTAGTGCACATTCAATTCTGTGCAAAAGCAGAGTAGAAATTCAAAACTCAGGATGGATTTTCCTCCATTTGAAAGTAAGTATACTATTTCCGCAGAATTTGGATTTGTTTCATGTCAGTGTCTGAGTTAAAATACTACATCAAACAACACCATTAATATTGCTAGTAAGCCCTTTGGATACTGAGGAAGCAGGAAACTAATGAAATCAAGATGGACATGGACTAAGATGCTCATATTCCATAATCTTCTCTAAAACTTATGTTCTGCTTTAGACAATACAGTTGAGTACCTGTGACTCTTCCCTTGATGGATTCACTGAAGTGGAGTGTGAAACTGGGGCAATAGCAGGTGAGTTTTTACATCTACTTGTGTTACGGTTTATATCTAGATATCCCCCAAAGGCTCATGCAGTCAGAGCAGAGGAGTTTTGGAGGGGCCAGGATTTAGGGTGTGTGAATGTGGATTCAGGGTGTGGTACTTGCATTAAGGGTGTGGATAATGAGAGCTCCACCCTAGCTTTGGTTGGCCCCAGTCAATAGGCTTGTAGCCTGGATAGAATTTAAAGGAACACAAAGAAGGCAGGCTTGTCGTTTACTGCTTCTGCCTGCCATGCCACAGACTGTTTCTTCTCTGCAGTGCCCCTCTGCCATGCTGTCCTGCCTTGGAGACAGCTGACTACAGACTAAAACCTCTACAAACTTTGAGCTGAAATAAACCTTTCCTCCTTTAACTTTGGGTCTCAGGTATTTTGTCTCATCAATAAGAAAACTAAATATCAAAGATTTTGTTAGAAAATTAATGAAAACATGATAGAAGTCAATTGAGATACATTTCATAATTTTCTCTAAAACTCCATATTCTAATTTAGAGAATGCGGGTGAATACCCATGGCTGTTCCTTGGATGCACTTACTGAAGTAGAGTGTGAAACTGGGGATGGAACAGGTGAATTTTTCAGTCTATTTGCAAACATGTGCAAAATGCCAATTCCATGTTAATTACAACATAAAGCAACCTCAATAGTTAAAATTGTCCTTCATGAGGATTAATGAATATACTTGATCTCTGCCTGGAGCTTCTGGAACGAGACTCTGAAAGATTATTTGTTCTGAACCAAACGGGGAAAATATTGTACATGGAAAACAAAATGAAGAGTATAACATTTATAAATGTATTGACATTAATTTAGCTACTATCAATTCTTCCATAATATCAATCTTCCTTTTAGGGGACATGATCAAAACTGGCTTTAAATTGCAAAAGATCTGTGACTAAGATAACATCTCTAATAAAAATGGGAGAAAAATAAACACTTCATTATACCACATCTGTATTTGGCTCTCGGACTCGAAAATGCACATAACATGTATTCAAATATTTCCGCTCAGTGATGAGTTCTACAGTGCACAATCATGTCTGCTCATTGCTGATTTTCAAGCTCCTGTATTATCTTAGTCATTAAACCACAGTAAGTTTATCTTTCCAAAATGCTGAAAGGCTCCACAAATGTGTTCAATGCCCAAATCAAAATATATAAGGCTTCATAAAATTGAAACTACTAAGAAACTAGAGACACAACAACATTTAGGTGGGGCAATACACAGGGTGTGACACGTCTTCCCAGGCAGAGCAGTGAAGCATGCATGACAAATCCACATGGTGGCTGTGGGGCAGCTACAGTGGCAATGCCTTGCAATCAACACGCCTGGACTTTCCAGTCTGCAAAACGCCCATGATCTACATGACCCTTTTTTGGAAACCAAAATGTATCCAGAGTCCCAGAGCATCAGCTGGGGCAATCTGGGGCTGACTTCAGGGCAGTTCATAGAAATGGCAGCTGAAGGAGGGAGTATTAAATGGCCTTTGGAAGCGCTGGGCTAGCAGGAGGACATGAGCATGGAACGAATAGGTCATCTGAGTCACTGGGAGAATGGAGCATAAAGCTAAGGAAAACAGAGGACAGAATCTGAAGACCTGGTAAAGTGAACAAATTTAGGGACTTCTGTCAACCATAATTCACTTTTTTTTTTTGTCCCAGGTTGTGATGTGCTCCTGGGCTCAAATCAGCAGCGCACAAGGTTGAGGGCTGGTGTTCTCTCTTTTCCACAAACACAGGATTCCTTGGGAGCATTGCCCAGCCCCTAGGAGACACTCCGTGTATCACTTTGACTGATCTTTGAGCATCTGTGCTTTGAGAAGCATGAAAGAATACAAAGCTGCAGAGCATTCTTGCAGTCACTGGCAGTCTGATGGGGGAAAAGTTAATGACTGTCCTGAGTTTTGCAGTGGAACAATTTCGGGCCAAAATTAGGAACATTGTGCCAAAGAGCCCAAAACAGACAAGTAATTCTTTGACTACTTTCTATTGGCATTTTCAAAGGCTAGGTACCCTTAAGATTTGTCATATGTTCTTAGACATATAATCTTTAAGTTCCTAGCATCTTTTATGAGTATGACCAAAATCTTAATTTGAATGGACACATTCACTTACACATGATGGGAATTTCACTAGTATTACATGGCACACTTGGTATTTTTTCCTGGCATAATTATTGTTTTTCTTTTATCCTGTTTATAAAAATTTCTCCTTTTATTCACATCACTTAAGAGTGCAAAACGTACATCATAGCTTGATGTTATTCTCATCAGATTTCTGGATAAACAACCCAAAATTCTGAGCGCGTGAATTAAATTCATTTTTCTTAGGAAGAATCATGACACTGAGAATTCCGGGAGAACACAGGAATTTGACCTCTTCAGAAATCATAAAGGAAAAGTCCATCTTTCCTGGAAATCTAAAAAAAGCTAATGGCAACTGGAAAAATTTCACTCAAACAAAGTCATCCATTGCAGGAGCTCCCAGCCATGCCATGCGCCCCGTGCTGGATGGTGATAGAGGATCCAGTCAGTGGATGTAGAGTCGAGGATCCATAAAGTTGAAGAAAAGAAGATGGTGCCCAACCATCCATGTGCCCTCTCCTGCCCCGGACATGGGCATTTCTCGGAAGGCAGTGGAATAAAAAGCAGCCACTGCCTGTTACCCCAGACTGTTCACCATCACTTACTTCTAGACAGTTCACAGCACAGAGAATGCAGATCGATTGTGATCAGGCCTCACTTCAGGATTAACCAGAGGAAACCAGAGAAGGTGCCCAGTCCCTCTTCCCCTCCTCCCTTCTTCCTCCTCCTCCCTGTCCCTCTTTTTCTCTCCCCTCCACCCCAGGATTTTTTTTTTTGGTTTGGTATCAGGAATTGAAGTCAGTCCCCAGTGTGGTGACGTGGGAGGTAGTGGGACCTGTAAGAGAGGGGGAGATTAAGAAGCAGCTGGGTCTCTGAGGATGCTGTGCACAGAAGGGACTGCTACAGTCTCATGGGATCCCACTTTGCTCTCCAAGCAGTACAGTATTACTAAACAGCAGGCCTGGTCTCTCCCTTTGTGGCATCCTCTCAAGTGCAATCTCTTCCACATCTGCCACTGCAATGCCATCCACCCTGAGGCCCTTGCTGAGCTGATACTGATATTTTAATAATCCTTTTAGAGCTTCTATATCAGACATAGACACACAGCCTCCTCTGGATTTTTCTTTTAGATGATAGAGAAAAACAAAATCTTTCTTGTTTAATGAGTATTTTTCTTTATTATTTATAGTCAAACACATTTCCTAACTGAAACACACACATTGTCTCTTCTCTGTCTCTGTCCCTGTCTCTCTCTGTGTCTCTTTCACCAGAGGCACCACTAAAAAATGAGATAGGAACACAACTACCACATATTTAAAGTGCAAAGAAAGAGCAATGGTGGGCATTGATCCCTACTGCACTAAGAGAAATTCCAACTCAGAGACTGCAATTAAAATAATGGAGAGGAAAATATCCCAAACTAAATGACCAATTTTGTTTCCTAGAGAGGCGTTTCGTTGTGACCCAGAGGACTGATTTGAGAGCTACAAATTAAGCAAAGCTTCAGGCGAGTCTTTTGGAAAAATCATTCTTAAAGAAATGTAGCCTCTGGGCCAAACAGAGGAATAAACATGGTGCACAGAGAGACTCAGAGTTCAAGAAGCTCTCCCTGGTTTGAGGAATGCAAGAGCTGCAGGGAACAAGTGCAAGTAACTGGAGCATTATTCTCATGATTACTAATGGTTCTTAATAACTAAGCGGCAACATTAGGTCTCTGGTTGGCTGAAATGCTCACAAATTGCTCACTACAGTTATTACTAATAACTAAATATAATTTGACACTAAATTACAATTCCAGATATTTCCCTGCAGCCCCTTATTGCAAAGGAAAACCAAGCCAGTACATCAATAAATAGAATAATCCAATTTAATGTCTCTCCATTTGGGAACCATTTAGAATTGAGAGTAACAGAATGGTGAGATCAAGATAGAACAATCCAGTATTTACTGATTTAAAAAATCAGAACACTTTCTATAAGACAATTATCTTTGGTTATTTGAAAATAAGTGTCAGTCAGTCTGAATGACTTTGATGTAGTGATTTTAATCATGATAAATTCTTTCTAGACAAAAGGTGTCATTTTTAATACTTGCATTTTAAAATTAAATGTAAGTACATGTTTATGTTCAAAGTGTCTTTGTAAACACATTCCCAATCACTTTTTATGACATATAATGATCACCTATTAGCCAGGAATTACATATACAGAAAAACGGACAGATAAAAACGATCTACATTCCTTCTAGCTACATTTGAGTGGAGAAATGACAGCTAGATTGCCTGGTAATAGTTTATGTTGGAGTTGTTGTTAACACATTAGCAGGATTTTGTCAGAGACGGGTGTGTCCTCTATAATGGGAAGGGATGATATTTGCCTGCAGAGGCAGAAACACAAGCGAAGAATTTTTTCCCCCAAGATGTGTTGGAGGTGTTATCATAGAAACAGTGGCTGTGCTCTGAGCTTTCCATCAGCAGAAATTAGAGAGATACTCAAATAGCATGGTAATGGCGTTCTTTGGAGAATGTGTTCCTAAAGTTTCTACAGGCAGCTGATGAAGCCTGGTGTACATCCCTCAGGTCGAATTTCTACAGGAATGGAGTGAAATCAAGGTACAATCAAACTCTCCAGGAAAATAGGCCCCGAGTTAGAGGTTCTTGTGTTGTGTTCGCTGCAAGCATTTCTCTGGTGACTCCTGTGTGCTTACTATTAAAGTGTGTGCTCTATAGATGCCTCCACGGTACTGGCCCCTAGTGAGACTATTACAACAAAGCTGAAAAGATACTTACTACTGGTGGATGACAGGTGGCTGTAGTCGGACCTGAAACACAAAACCTCAGTATTAGCAAGATTGTATAACGTTTTTCTTTATCCAAATGATTTATTCAAACTAGAAGTTTAAAAGTCGGTGGTGAGTAGCATTTAACTAGTAAAATAAGGGTCACCAATTAAAAATTTATACCATAGTGCAAACAAAAGTTATGCCTGAATTTTAAAGCAAAACTTTTAAAGGCATTTTAGTATTGGGGGACTTTGACATTGGCTATGTGAGTCTGCTGGATTCTAAGTCTGTTGGCAAATTTTCAAGTGCTTGTCTATTTTTCTGGAAAAAAGACCCAAAGTTTTTAACAGATCTATGATTCCCAAAAGGTAAAACCACTGCAAATGAGCATACCTCAAATGTTCATACAAGTCACGAGAGAATGTCTCTTTGCTGAGTCAGCATTGTCAGAGGGCACAGAGAGAACCCGGGCCACCAGGGCACACACATTTTAGGTGTGGATGGCCAGCAGGGAGCCCAGAGGCATAGTCCTATTTTAACACATCTCAGTATCATTAAAAAGAAATCGGCTGAATATCAGAGCACAGGTTGTGGGCTGTATATGGGATTTTAGGCTGAAACACCAGTGGAGGCACTGAGCTAGGAGATGGGCCTCTGGCCAAAGACCAGCCTTGCTAATCTCTGATGAGTTTCTGCCCTATTTGCAGGGTTGCTAAACTTCTTTCTCTGGCAACACATTGGGTGTAGAAGCTATTTATTTTCTTCCCTACCGGTGGTGTCTCAAAGTAATTTTCAGTAGGAAATTAATCACTTGGGCATGTAAAGATTTAGTCTGCCTGCTAGTGAGGGGATGTAGTTAATGCAAATAAACTGCTTGATTATATTTGACTTTATAGATATATACTCCTTTTATTTGCTTAGTCTCATGCTTTTTTTGTGTGTGTGTGCTAGGAATTGAACTCAGGACCTTGCACTTGCCAGGTAGGTGCTTGTGCCACTGAGCTAAATCCCCAGCTCTTCATGTTGCTTTTCTTGATTCATCCAATTTTCATTCCACTGAGCTTCTTATCACATTAAAAAATATATACCAAACTTTAAAAAACTCATAAGAAGCATAGTGCACTTGTTAAAATAATGTACATGGCTCAGACCAAATGATTTAGTGGTACAGGAACCAAATGGAAAAAAAAAAAAACCCAGCACATGGTTTTCTCTGTTTCAAATGAAATATTTTAGTAGCCAAAGAATCCTTGAATTTTAAAACTGGAAAAAAATAACAACTAACATTTGCATATCTCTTTATACTTTATAAACTACATTTGCATATATTTAAATCAACCTTTATTTTACTAATTGGACAATGAAAGTTACACTATTTGCAAGGAGTCCAGGAGGTGAGGAATCCTAAGGACTTGGACTCTTTAGGATAGGTAGCAAGGACTGAGTTTGAAACTAGGATGCCCGGTCAGGACATGGTGACACACACTTAAGGGGAGCAAAAGCAAGATGAGAACCATTTTAAAACTCAGGATTTGCAGCCCCAGTACTGGCACATTAAATATTTTCTGGAACCAAGGCCATAAATAAGCTTTAGGACAATACTTAGAAACATAACTATATAAAAATGCAGTGAATGCTCAGCAAGTATGCTTGATAGTAGATGTAACAGCAAAATAATTCCATTACAAAATGATCATCTGCAAATGCCCAGACTTTTAAAAGACTGTATGAGTATTCAAATACAATTTATAATAAAAATGTATAATATTACTATTTGTCTTATATTAAAAAATGTGTCAGCCTTTTCAGTTAGAATTTTCCAACTACTCCTGAAGCAGATGGGATTCACATATGTAGGCATTTTAAAGATCTGCATACAGATGGATATGTATGTAGAATTAAATTTACATCGGGAACACAGTTCAGGAATCTTGAAGTACAGTGGTAGTATTTTAGGACAGGTGCTAGCGTAACAAATGGCTCTCCATGAGTTCCCCCAAATCTTTTGGAATAAGAGGCACTGCCTGGGTCAGGTCTGTTAACCGGTCAGCCTTCAGGAGTCCCTGTCCTTTGCTCCAATTCCTTCTCCAGACAGCAGCCAATTTTTGCAAAGCACAAATCTGATCATGTCTCTCTTTGGATGAGATTCAAACTTGCTACTTGAAACACAAACCCCTCTCTTCATGACAGATAGTCTCTGCCCAGCTCTCTAGCTCAATTTCCATCCCTGTTCACTGTGGAAACAGAAGTCAAACAGAAAGAAGTCACCCGAAACCTCACGTCGCTTTCCTGACTCTGGTCCTAACTTTACGAAATTTGTGCACAGCTTCCATAATGAGGGAGATTCAGCTCTGCACTGCTCTTTTTATTTCACGTCAGCATGCTACCACTCAGCTCCTTAATAGCATTTTAGGGAGAATTCACTCAACCACTTCCCTTTTGCTAGCTTACGATTGTTCCTGATTGTTTGCATTTACAAAGCACAAGGCAATGATATTTACAAATATAGCTTTGCATTTATTTTCTTGCTCTTAGAAAAATCTCTGTGAGTGGGAATGCTCACTGAATTTAGGTGTGAAGATTTTTCATAGCTCTTAAAAATACATTCCAAATAAGCCCAACAGATCATTTCCTGGAAATATTGCTAGTGAAAGAAAAACTATCAAACTTGAGAAAATTTTGTGCATGAATAAATTAAAATAATCTCAGAAAACAATCAGATATATGGCCACGGGTCACTGGGGGAGTCTTTGTAGCCTGATTTCCTTTGAGAAGGAAGGAATAGCGGTTGGCCTTGAGATTTCTATTTACTGGTCTCCCATTATAAGAATTTACCTGGCTCATTCCATATATGACAGTCAAGCCTGAAGCAGGAAACGTGAGTCCATAAATTTTAGGATGCGAAACTTTTGAACATTTGATATACAGGAGAACAATAATACAAGAATTGTATATCCTCATACAGTGGACATATCTAAAAACACATTTCCAAATACTGTATTTATTTAGTATCTGTGTTAATAATAAAAAACTTTTAGAGCTGTTCCTTGACTGTATTTTAATGGTACGTTTAGGGTTATATATAAAGGCATTCTGTACTTAAGATAGCTTAGCACTGTTAGTTGCCTACTTGTCAATTTATATATACATTAGTTTTATAAAATGAATACCTTCTGAAACTATCTTTTCCAGAAAAACCACAGCATAAGAATTTGATCTTGGCATTTCTGTAAAAGTGGTCTTGATGTTTCTGCAAAACATCAGCTTGGTGTACCCAAGACTTCATGATACCTTCCAGTGCACTGGGTTAATAAATGCCATGGCAACACGCGTTAACTAGCTACACTTGCACACAAAGTTCATAGAGTGTTAGAGACAGTCTTATCTTCTATGCAAGATTTTCTGATTTTAAAACTCGTTTCACTTTTAAATTTATTGCACGTATTCTCTCATCCACTTGTTTAAACCCTCAACCTATACACTTTTTAAATTACTGAAGCCATAGTGAGGTTGGAGATCACCCAAAGATACAGGCTACAGTATAAGCCTGGCCTGGGTCAGAAGCTCAGTGACAACTGACACAGAAGCAGAAACTCATTAATTCCAGGCTGAAGAATAATCCATCAGGTACGATCATATGTGAAAGATTAATTTAGAGACCAATTCATGGAAACATCATTGAAGACACTGTCATTATAAAGCATTGGCTTTTATTCAGATTAAGAAGGCTCCACCTGTTTTTCTATTAAGAGGTTCTGTTTTTGAAGCTAGTTTAGTACTATCAGCAGGTGACTTGCCAATTTTTTTCTAATGGAAAGCTCACAGAAGCACAAGGCCTGCATTCAAGAGGACTGGGGACATGGGAGCTTCAAAACAACATCAATTGTCAACGTTGTTTGCTGTTAGTCTTGGCATGTATTAGGTAGGCCAGACAACAAAGGCAGCACTTCAAGCAAACAAAAATGAACAGAAAATGAAAATTACTAGAGATTAAAAGCCTTCTTACAAGTCAAAGTCATTATGTGGGAAACACACTGGAGACCCAGGATTCTATTGAGGCCACTAATGAGCCATGAGCCCGCTAGGTCTCCATTTCCCCACCTCTAAAATAATAATATACTGATACATGCCCTACAGCCTATGGGGTGTCTTGAATAATGATTAAATTACTAAGGTTTTAAAAGCATCTGAACATACACTATGATAAGTGTAAAGAGCATATAAGGTCTTAGAGGGTCAAAATGTATCATTTGGAATGTACTTTGTAACAACAATAATAATGGTATGATGAGAAACAGCACCAGACTGAGGTTGACTTATGCCAGGTACTGTTCTAAGGCTTTGAATGCACACCCTCCTTTAATCCTCACAACAACCCTATGATGGTGGTATTGCCATCAGTCACCAACCTAAGAGGCTGGTTCTTATGACTAAACTTTCAAAGTAATCAGCATAGTCTGCTCACTTCCAGTGGGACCCGCATGGGATAGATAATAGAACGGTCAGTTTAATAAGTATTCCTCTAAAATCCCTTGATCCTCTGCTCTGTTCTGACTCATGTATCACCAATCCCTCCTCCACCAGTTTGTGATGAGCCCAACCACGCCCAGCTCTCTCTGCCTGCCCCTCCGGCCCTAGGTTGTTGAGGTGTGCTGCAGGAACATAAATGGCAATTTGACTCCTGCCTCTGTAAATATACAATCGTTCTTCCCACTGGTGCTCACCAGCACACCCAGACATTTTCAATCTCCCTTCTCCTGGGCCAGGGCCGCAGTCACACCTACTAACAACCCCGTGTCCCTTCCTTCGCTCCTGTTGTAAGGCAGCCATGTCCTCTTCCTACTCAAAGCGCATCCACCCACACGTGGGGTGAAGTCCATCTGCTTCCACCTCTTCAGAAAGCGGACTTCATCTTTATCCTTCCCCTTTCCAGTTAGTCTGCCTGTTAAGGAACTCCTTGCCTCCCACGTGTTCCCTTCTGGCTTCTGCCTCTCTGTGCCCTTCTCTGTTCCACATCGATGGCTCTTGCTGTCACCTCTGCCTCATCTTCTATGTCCTTCTGAGTCTCTCTTTTGCCTCCACCACCCATTGCCAAATATTCACTTCACTGTGTCCACTAATAAAAGGACACTTCATATTCCTCATCTTAGTTCTCAGAGGCCCAGCTGATTTCTTTTTCCAAATCTCAAACTTTCCTTGACTTCAGGATAGCTCATCCTCCCATTCCACGCAGACTCTTTCTCAGGCTCCTTTACTAGCTCAGCCTCTTTCACCTGACATTTAAATGTGGTTTCTCAAGGCCAGTTTTAAAGATCACCTGCTACTCTGAGTTGCTGAAGGAGTCAATGAGCCAGTGGAACACACCTAGGCTTAGGGTAGTTGGTGGCACACAGTAAATGCTAAATGACCTTTAGTCAATCTGTCTCAGGCTTCAAAAGCCATGTTTAGGTGGACAGCACCCAAAGGTGATGTCGTCATGCAGACCTCCACACTGAGCCCCAAAGCTGCAGCCCACTGCTGCCTCACCATCTTCACTGAGATGTCTCTCAAGACCTCAAGATCCGTACTGCAAATGAACCATCTCATGCTCTGCCCACACTTGGTTTGGATGGGGTCTCGGACTACTTGGAGAATCAGATAAAAGTTCTCTTCTGATAAAAATTCACAAAGTACATTATTTTGCATATAACTTGGCATAATTTATGGACCCCAAATTAAGGACCATTATCATAGTGCATGTGTCACTTGAGCTTGTTCTTGAGAGGAGGATAAAGTTTTTCCTAGTGGATAGGCATGAAGGTAGGAAGGGCAGAGCTGGCAGAGAGGGCAGCTTGACAGAGGCAAGGCAGCAGCAAAACCACCGGATGTGGCCAGGTGCAAGGTAAAAAGAGGGACCTGGGTAGAGAAAGAACCAGAGGGGAAAAGGAGGCACTTCATACTTCTAGCCATGCCAAACTCGTGCACTTGATGGGTGACAGAGCCATAAAAGTTTGGAAAGGAAAGATAGGGCCAGATTTATGTTTTAAAAATAATTATTCTAACACACATGTATTGAGTGCTTTCTATGTGTCCACAGGTTGCCATCTAAAAGCTAGAAATGGGAAGCCGAGCAACGCAAGCTCCAGAAAAATGCGGAAACTATGAAAAGCTTCTTTGATAACTAAAGTAAAATTCAAGGAGCATATGAAGGACAAACACAAGATGAAAGCACATGTAATGAAACTATCTGATTTAAATTCATGCATTTTACCTCTATTTTAGTTTGAGGATGCTAGTGATGGAATAAGAATTCTTTAAACAATTTGGTACTGTTACACATTTTAGTGACAGAGGCAGAGAACAGAAGCTTGGGAGTCAGCATGCTCAGTGAGCCCTCCCAGGAGCCCTGGCAGCTGTCATGCTGATTCTTGGTTTCGGAGGGGATGTCCCCCTGGGTCAGGGCTTCCTTTCCTTCTCAAAGAAAAAATTCTTGCAAAAAATGTATTCTAGGTGAGTTCTGAAAATTGAAAATAAATGGAGTAGAGAACACCTTTTAACTCAGCTATAAAGGAGATGAGTATTTTGCTTGTTTCTTTTGTTCATGATGGAGCTTAACCAGAGGCAGAAGGGAAAAAAAGCTAATAGTCTTCTAGCAAAGTTGATAAATGCCGGAGGTGTAGTTTGATGATAGAGTCTTTGCCTGGCATGCACAAGCACTCCCCAGCACAAATAAATAACGGCTATAAATGCCACACGTGCACAGTGTGAGAACAGCTAAGAAAGTTCAACTACCCCATCGTAAACCCAAAGTTGGGAAACAGAAATCCCATTTCAGGATAAATGTAAAGACTCAGATTTGGGCCAGGGGTGGTGGAGGAGGTTGCCAGGAAGGGCAGGGTTGGAGGCAGGAAGGGCCATAAATGGGGCGTTTGTGGGGGTCAGGTCAGAACCCTGCCTACATTCTGGGCCTGGACTCTTCCTGTCGGCACAGGTCGCCAAATTGAGATTAGCTTGAACCTCCCTCTTCCAGGACTGAGTCTTTCTGTAGCATGGCCAGCTCCTGCCCTCTTGCAGGGTCACTCCAGATAGGAAAAGACACCCTTTCCTCCCGAGGCAGCACCCGCATCCTGAATGTGGTGCTGACTCGGCACAGGAAAATCCTTTAGAGATAGGGTTTGGGTGAAAGCATCTACTAGAACGCTCATTTCCAAAAAGACACAGATCTTTTGTTCCACTCAGAAAAACTGTTGTTGCAGAGGGCTAATTAGTCTCCAAAGATCTGAGCTACATTGTCTGAGTCCGCTGAAGCGAACAGGACATTTTTGAAACAGGCAGGGGCTGGCCGCAGCGCCCTCTCCATCCGCAGCCGCCCCGGGCCCGAGGAGGTCCCAGCTGGAACAGGTGCGCGGACAGGCAAAGTTCTGCGGCTCTGGCGAAGTCGAGAAGGCGGCCTCAGTGGCCCAGAATAAAGCCCCATAACGCAGCTTAGCGAGCAGAGCCACGCTTGAAAGTTCTAAGTGACTTTCTGGTGCCAGGCGTCCCTCCCGACTCCCCGCTTTCCTGACCCCAGGGCTGGCCTCCAGGGCGGTCTGAGGGGCCCAGCAAAGTCCCGCGGGGGTGGGAACAAGTGCAGGGGCATCCTCAGCTCCCCGCGGGGAAGGGAAGGGGCCTGCACCGGCCGGGCGCTCCCGTGACGTCTGAGCGCAGGGGGGACCCGGGTGGGGTTACCCCAACCTCCGCCTGGCTCCCAGCGTGGCCCGCGCTGCACCGGGAGCCCCAGACCACGCGGCTGCGCCCCCGGGGCTGGCCCGGAGCAAGCGGGCCCCGTCTCTCCCCTTCCCCGCGGTCAGGCAGGGGCTCCCCCGCCCGGGCTGCGCCGCAGGGGTCCCCAGGGTCCTCCGCAGCTGTGGAGACGCCCGCAGGCTGGAGAGCGCCCCCCGCCCGGCCCGACCCGGCCCAGCCCCGCTCGGCTCACCCTCCGGTTTCGGCGCCCGAGTCCACGCAGTCCTCCTCCTCGCCGCCGCCCGCCTTCGGGTCCATGGCGCGCGTCCCGGCCGCGCTCCCTCCAGGCGCCCAGCCCCGCGCAGCCCTGCCCGGCTTGAGCTGGCCGGGCCGCCTCGCAGCGTCTCGCAGCCTGGGCTCCAGCAACGCTGGGCGCCGGCAGCCGCCTCTCGCCGCGCCCTCCAGCCGCGCCCGCCCCGCCCCTTGCCGCTCGCCGGTACCAGCGTGTGCGCGCGGGTGTGCACGGTGTGCGCGACGATCTCAGTGTGCGTGCGCCGACTGTCCTAAAGGGTAACAACGTGTGCTTGAGGATGTGCGCGTGTGCACGGGATACATTCGTGTGCACGAGTGTATGTGAGCTCTTAGAATTCCCTTGTGGTGTGTAACAGTGGTGAGACCTATCTATGTATGAATATGTGTTTGTGGTGTGATGTGGGTGTGGCGTGTATTTACAGTAACACTTGTCTGTGTATGTGCCGAGCGCTTGTGCCAGTCTGTGTTTTGTGGCCTGTGCAGTGTGTGTGTGTGTGTGTGTGTCTGTGTGTGTGTGTGTGTGTGTGTGTGTGTGTGTGTGTATGTGTGTGTGGGGGTGCGCGCGCGCGCGCACTCGTGCACATGCTCCCCGGAGCAGGAAAGCCAACTCTCTCGCCTGGGCGCACCGCACCAGAGAGAATCTGGAGTCTCAGGGAGTGCCCAAGGTTTTCAAAGCTCTGTTTTTGGAGAAATAACACAGGGAAAAGAAGGGGGGATGTTTCCTTTTGGGGATCAGTTTGAACACCTGGGGGTTTGCTTATGGTTTCCTCAGAACTGCCAACGCTGAATCCATTAGCACTTCTCAGCGCGGACTGAGTGGCTTCTTAGCACCCAACTTTCCAGCTCACAATAGTGTCATGCATTGTTTTGTTTTATATGCCTTTAAAAATAAGGTGAAGAGGATTGGGTGCATGGACATTACAGGGGGGAGTGACGTAAAGCACCCCCTTGTACCTCCATGAGTTAATGATCAGTGTGGAGGTATTTTCTCTTAGTGAGGTGGGGGCATGTTGGTGGGAAGGGGAGAGGGGGGAGGTCTGGACAAACTGGATTTTTTTCTGGCTGCCCTGTCCTAGCCATCCTAACGCAGTCTTTTCTACTCCTACCTTCCGGGCAAGATGTTTTAACCTGTCTGAGTCCAAGTTGCCTCTGTAAGATCCGCCTACCGCTGACTACCTGTGTACTGTTGTGAATGCATGACATTATGTCTGTGAACTACTTCCTGTGGTCCTGAAACACACCAAACACTAGTCCTGGACAATTGTCATTACAGGTGAAGTATGGAGCTGGCTTGTTCCCTCTCTCAACCCACAAAGCAGCTGTCACTCTGGGGGACAAAGGAGACAGAGAAGAGTGGAAAGCTATGGTTTCTTTTCTGTCCCCTTCCCTGTTCTTCCTCCCACGTGTTACCTTTCTGATTTCATTTCCAATATGCTACACAGAAGAAAAACTCAAGTCAACAAAAGCAGAACAGAAAAACAATCTGATTAGCTGGAAAAAACACAAGCCAATGGGTCAACTCCAAATCTAAATAGGCCTCACTCCTCCTGAAACTTCTTGTGCCCAAAGCAGAAGTGGACTTGTTACACTCTGCTGATGTTTATTAGCTGGCAGAAGGGAGCTGCTTTTATCCTCAGGCACTGATTCCTAAAAGAAAATTCTCAGCTGGGCCAGGAACACTGTGGGTGTCACACTGCCTGGTGTCATCATCAGTAATCATTTTTAAGTTATTAGTTCATTCAGTAACTTTTCCAAACAAGCGGGTGAATTTAGGTCACACAAATGAGGTAAAATAGCTACAGATAAGATCTTTGCCCTGTGAAGGGATGCTAATTAAGTCAGTATGTGTGTGTGTATGCGTGCACACGTGTGTGTGTGTGTGTGTGTGTGTTAGAGAGAGAGCGAGAAAGAAAGAAAGGGAGAATTCACCATGAAGGAAAAGAATAGTATCCTGAAAAACAAAAAGAGAACAGACTTAAAACTGGAGTGTGTTGGCGAAAGCTCTCTCTGAAAGGGCTATTTAAATACTCTTCTGCCCTTCTCCCTGGAACACTTTTTCCCAGATTTGCTGTGAGACTCTTTCTATATCTCCTTCGTGATTCTGTTCAAATGATCCTGCACCAGAGAGACCTTCCCAACCAGTCGTACATCATAGTCGCCTGCTCTGCTCATTTTGAACCCCCACCAGCACTTGGCAGGTGATAGATTTACACTGTTTCCTGATTACCTTCTTTTCTCTCCACTAGATTAGGGACTTGCTGCTGGGTCCAGCACCTGGAGCAGCCCTCAGGGTAGGCTACGCATGTGGAGGAAATGGAGGTCAGTCCAGGAGGGGACGGAGTAAGGTGAGTGCTGCAGGTGGACAGACCAGTGAGAGGACAGCATCGGGCTGAGCACTCAGGTGGAACTGAGTGAAGGAAACTGGGTGACATCAGCTGCACAACATGGTGAAGGTGATGGTGGGACACCGGACATAAATGTGACACCTCCAGGAAGCCACCAGTAGAGCCCTGTGGCTTATTTGGACTGTGGAAGGACCAATGGGGTGCCCATAAATCCAGATTAGAGGGAGTAATGAAAGTACCAATTAGGTGAGTGTGGTGGGCATCCTGTATCTCATTACCTCTGTAGCCTTCTGCTGTGTAGGGAATGTTTAGCAATGTACCTTATTTGGTCCTTCTGTGAAGTAGGTTTATTTTTCAGTTTACAGTCAAGAAATCTAAACCATTGAGTTTAAGCACCTAGCCCAGGTCATCCATGCCAGGATGTAGGTGGAGACGGTGCCATCCCACACAGGTTGTGATTTAAGGCACTAAGTAAAAGGCTAGGAAGAAGAGCTTTGAGAAATGAGATGATTTCAGTCTTTCTCCATGTCCAGCAAAAGGTCAGACTGAACCAAACTTCTGGACCATATTTTAAAATGATGGATTGGGGTTGATTCCCCCATCCACAGGGGACACAAGTGTTCTCATTCGATAGTGGCATAGCCACCAGTGGCAGCCTGGTGATAAGTTCCTTCTCTGGAAAAGAAGCTCAAGTACTTACTGTCACTGTGGTTGGGTTATAAAGGGCTCCTGCTGTAGATGCAAGTCCCAGTGGTCTCTCCTTTTAATATGAGAAGTGTGAGGAGCTAGCTAGCACCTGTCAGTTAGTACAGGGCATTTAGCCCACAACCCGATGTGACTCCCACACTCTGCTTTCAAGTTATTTAACACCACTCACTCTAGTCAAGGGGGTGCAGTACCCCCTTTCATTGTCCCTGTAAGGTGGAGATGAGGGTGCCACTCATCTGCGTTGGGTGCTCAGATCTTCCCATCTGAGCCCGAGGACATCATAAAGAAACACTTCAGGATGGCAGGAAGTGTGGTAGGCAGCAAACATGAACCCTGACTTCTGACCTGAAAGGTCACATACTGGTTATTTAAATGTCATGCATCATGCTGGGGATTTCATATATGTGATCTCTTTAATTCTCATCAAAACCTGGTGAGGCTTCCACTGTCCTTATAATGGTATTGTTGTTCTGGGTCTTGTAGGA